ACCTAACACAGTTGGGGGGTCACGGAAGACTCCGTGAAAAAGCAAGAAAGCTAAGGTCCAGCCACTGTATTAATTGCTTTGGGTACATTATCATTATCATTATTTTATTTCCACAGAAGTCTTAACAATTATATATTATTACTCCCATATTATGGATGACAAAACCAAGATTTAGGGAGATTAAGTCCTTTACTTCAGTGCACACTGCTTACATGAATCATAATTAATATTTCAATCATGTCTATCAAATTCTTAAACTTATGTTCTTTCCACTCCACCATGCTGTCTCCAACAATGCCTCAAATAGTCTGGCAAATCATGCTGCACTTATTTGCTAAACTTGCAGGGATCCTCAGTATGTAAACATCACTCAATTGACATTGTCAAATGAAGACTATTTGTGCCAAGGGAATTTTGAAGAGAATCCAGTACAAATCAGTATAATTTTGGATGACAACAAATTGGTAAATTGATCCAAATCCTTCTTTTTCCTTGTAGAAATCAATTTCCATGGAAAATATAGATCCCTTTGGGGTAGTAAGAAGCAGCAATCTGGGACATGGTAGACTGTATCATTCAAACAGATTTTGAACAGATTCTCTGGCTAAATTTGCTTCATCTCTCATACCCAGAGACTGCTGGCACTCTTCACCAGATAAATTCATGTTTGAACAATCCAAGGGGTTTCAGTAAAATGTATACACATTGTATATGTTCACTTCACTTATATAGGTATTTACTGGGCACCTTCTAAAAGGAAAGCTTTGTGTGATGCTTCACCTCTTTCCTCCAGGAATGAACCTACCAATCATCTAATAGGATGGTACCAGAACAACTTAATAGCTAAAGGGACATAGCTTAAAGGAAGTGATTTAAGTGTTGTCAGAACAAAGTGCCAGGAAGATTGCAAGGAGGAAAGAAAGCATATCTGGTTGCTGAGAGAAATGGCATTTGAGGTGAAGTGGAGAGTTTGGGTTGGGGGAAGGAAGAAACCCCATGAAAGGGTACAAATGTCCAAATCATTGGCTGTGGGGAAGCTTTTGGCACACTTGGACAGAGTGGTTGCTTTTGACTGAAAGATAAGGTAGCTAAGTTCTGGGGGAAGGAGTTGGTAATACCCTGGAGTTGTTATTTGAAGGGTGGTGGTTTAGTTGCTAAGTTGTGTCCGACCCGTCCCGGGCTGCCAGACTTTTCTGTCCATGGGATTCTTCAGGCAGGAATACTGGAGTGGGTAACCATTTCCTTCTCCAGTGGATTTTCTCAACCCAGGAATCAAAGCTGGGTCTCCTGCATTGCAGGCAGATTCTTTACCAACTGAGATACTAAAGAAGATTTATTTGAAGGGAACTAGAGAACTTAAGGATATTGAGGAAAAGCTGAGTGTGTGTTGAGGAACATACTTTAGAAAAATAAATTGGGTGAAAATACAGAGAGTTATTGGAATTAGGGGAAGAAGAGATAGAAGAAAATTTTGGAGATTATTATTAAAAAATATTAACAAGTGAATGAAAGGACCATGATGAGAAAAGGTAGTGGTATTTCTACAGAGTACAGTGATCTATAGTACTACTACTGTGTTACTGCTAACTGTAAAACATCTAAGTTCATATATATATATATATATATATATATATATAAGTCTACATTCATATATACATATATGAATGTACACATACACAATGAAATATTGTGCTCAATTGTGTCCAACTCATTGTGGTCCCTCGGCTCCTCTGTCCATGGAATCTTCCAATCAAGAATACTGGAATGGGTTGCCACTTCCTACTCCAAGGGGTCTTCCTGACTCAGGGGTCCAACCCATGTCTGTTGCATCTCCTACATTGGTAGGCAGCTTCTTTACCACTAGCACAACCTGGGAAGACCCAATGGAATATTACTTAGCCATGATGAAATACTGCCAATTGCAATATCAAGGATAGATGCAGTAACATCATATAAATCGGTAAAACCATTTTGAAAAACTGTTTAACATTAACAAATCTGAATGTACTTACATCTGTAACCAACAATGTCACTCTTAGGTGTGTACCAAATATATGTGTACATAAGATAAAAATATGTGTATCAGAATGTTCATAGTATTTATAACAGTCCCAATGTTTGGCTGTTCTCATGTAACACAATTGTTCATAAATAGGGAAATGGATAAATGGATGAATGGGTTGTGTTAGATTCCACAATGGAATACTACATAGAAAATAAAATGAATGAACAGCTGCTGCACACAACACTGACCAAATGAAGCCAGACAAAAGAACACACTGAATACTGTTTCATTCATATAAAGTGCAAAAATAAGTCAAACTAGTCTATTGAATCAGAAATCAAAGCTGTGGCAGTCCATGGAGAGAATAAGTGGTGATGATTGGGAGGGGCAGACAGGATTTCTTAAGTGCTAGTATAGTATTGGGTTGGCAAAAAGTTCATTTAGATCATTTTTTCTATCAGAAAAGCCCAAATGAACTTTTTGGGTAACCCAATACTTTTTCTTGGTCTCAGGGATGATGACATGAGTGTACTAATTTGGTGAAAATTCATCAAGATGTCCACTCATGATTTGTTTACTTTGCTGAGTGTTCTACTTCAATAAAAATCTATTATGTTAAAAAGATACATGTGGGAAATGGGAACTGTTACAGAAGGTAAAGACATTGCAGATATAAGCTAGAAGTGAAGCCAGCGATATGTTTAGTCATTTCAAGGTTCCCTGTTTATTCAAGATATCACAAGGTGGTCAAACATCTGGCACTTCAACCTTCAGAAAACCAGAAATCACACAGGAAAGATGGATAGGATGAATAAGAAATGTAGAATTACCTTCTGCTCCCATACATACCCATTTACTTGCGGGGGGGGGGTAATTTGTGACACAGCATGAACACTCTGCATTGAATTAGTTCTCCTAGCTATTTTAGCAAGTATTCATTTATCTGTATGTGTCTCTAATGTTGGGGTGTCAAAAAAAAGGACAAAAAAACTGATGATCTGACTGTAAGCATTAAAAATATTTGCTTTGTTAATATATGTGCTGTCATGTTCTGACATGGACATTTCCATTACAGATAAACAAAATGGCCATTAATACGTGTACACTCATTATTACAATCTATTACATAAGCCTTGCTTGATGGCTGATGATCTGAAGCTGTAGGTCCCCAAATCTGGCCTGGCCTTGTTATATATGCCCATTAAAACTGCATTCACATGATAGTGATCAATAGGTACTTCTACTACATAGAAAAAAGTAAAGGGAATAAAATTTTAAAATTTAATAAAACTTAACAGTCAAATAACAGATTGAATCACAGTGGAAATATAAAACACTACAGATTTTAATTGAATTATAGAATCTATTGGTTTTTTTTTTTCTTATGCTGTAGCTCTGATTTGTCATTTGCAGGCTCTTTGTAATTGATGTTAATAAACTGTCATCCCTGAGCTGATTTTTGGTAGATAGGGGCTGAGAAATGAGCCTAAATAGATTGCCCTCTGCATGTACCAGTATTAGACTTTTTGGCAGAAACTAGAGACTAACAGTCACCAAAAGGGATTAAGTATCTCCTCATAACAGGGGATAACTTCCTCAAGGGCAGGTCCTTGAGTGCTAAGGGGACAGACCGGCAGAGAGTTTTCACTCTTGGGAGCAATGTCATACCTTCATTGTGGATGCCCTTCTTCTGGTTTACTTGCTAACTCATTTTCCATATATTGAATCCACTTTCACAATTTAAATGCAAAAAACCGTAACATAATAGATTTGACAATAGGATATGATTGAAATGCTTTGGCACTAATCTCTTTTTTTCTGGAATGGGAAGGCAATTTCTGCTGAATCAGAAGGATTCCTCTCTATGTATCGCTGGCCAGATCATGGTATTTTCAATTCAACACAATGTTCATTCAGGTGCAGGATCTGCAGCGAGGCAGTGATGGCAAATGGAGGTGGTAGTTTAGTCACTAAGTCGTGTCCAACTCTTGGAACCCCATGGATTGTAGCCTGCCAAGCTCCTCGGTCCATGGGATTTCCCAGGTAAGAATACTGTAGTAGGTTGCCATTTCCTTCTACAGGGGATCTTCCAGACCCAGAGACTGAAGCCCTGCCTCCTCATTGCCTGTGGGGTTCTTTTACCACTGAGCCACCAGAGAAGACCTGTAGCAATGGCATAAATAGACCCAAGTTCACAGAACAGGCTGATATACTGAAAATGCTGGTATACTTGAGAATCACTAATCCATGACATAGATAAACACACATAACACACAAGCCATGAGGGGAGACTTGACCGATAAAAGCTGAAGCAAACATAGTCCTTTGCCCAATCAAATTCTTGCTAATTCTTTAATCCCGTTTGTATCTCTTCTCAGGGTCCCACAATGTGCTAGCCTTCCTCATTTTTACCTTCCTACTACTAAGGGAATTAATTGATTGTTTTGCTTTAAAAGGCTTCCTGCAGGGCTATAGACAAGCTGGGTAAATAAAAATAAGCATGAGAGAGTAAATTGTGTCTGTACATGATATTATATCCTACTTAATTATGTTAATAGGGACTAAAATAATTATGAGATGACTATTCATATTTATGCCACTCTTGGTGTCAAATTTATTTCCCTCATCTAGGGCTTCATGGGATCTGGGCATTCTGGGGCTCTACTTTTTTCTCTGAAAACTTCTGTCTGATTATTTAACTTGCTTGATAGTAGGTACCAGAAAAAGAAAAAAAGTAAATAAAAGAGGTAAAACCAAATCAGTTAAGAAGATATTCATTCAAATATTAGGAGTTTTGAAAATATCAGACACCTATACTCTTTACGCCCCTATTATGACCAAAGTTCAGAAGAAGTGTGTAACTTGTCCCTCCATGTTTTGGTGAAGTTACAGAAAGAGAAAAATAATCAACGAGAAGAAGGTAGTAGGCAACAACTAAAATTTAATTACCTTTTCATTCTGCAGATGTGTTTTTCTACTTCATCTTAAAAATTAGGCTGAAGGTATATAAGACCTACAATGGAACCAACCCTGATGCTGCTAGCCAGGCCATTGACTATGTTCAGAGACAGCTGCACTGTTGTGGAATTCACAACTATTCAGACTGGGAAAGTACAGACTGGTTCAAAGAAACCAAAAACCAGAGCATCCCACTTAGTTGTTGCAGAGAGACAGCCAGCAGCTGTAACAGCAGTCTGGCCCACCCCTCTGATCTCTATGCTGAGGGGTGTGAGGCTTTAGTTGTGAAGAAGCTACAAGAAATCATGATGCATGTTATCTGGGCAGCGTTGGCATTTGCAGCTATTCAGCTGCTGGGCATGCTGTGTGCCTGCATCGTGTTGTGCAGAAGTAGAGATCCTGCTTATGAGCTCCTCATCACTGGCGGAACCTATGCATAGTAGAAAACCCAAGCCTGAGCTTTTTAGTCTTGTTCTGACTTGGAAGGTGAATTGAGCAGGTCCACTGCTATTGGCCTCCTGAGTTCATTTAGTTAAAGCACACGTACACAGGTGTTGGACAGAGCAGCTTGACTCTTCATTTGTCTACCTTCTTACCTACCCACCGATGACTTTTTTCCCCTTTGTTCTAGCTGACTCTCCATGTCTGTAACTGTTTTGAGTATGGCGGTAAATGTTCTAGCCTCAGAACTGTTTGTGAGTTGTGTAGTGTGGTAGAATTAGAGGTTGCCGTGGCCCTGCTTCTGTCACCTCCAAGCATAATGGGCCTGCTGCTGTAGTATCACCAGGTCTTTCAGTCTTCACAGTGGAGAGGAGAACTCTTGGTAAAGGTTTTTGCCGGGGGGAGGCAGTCAGCTGTCTGGTTAAAGTTAATACCAGATGGTGCCCCTCATCAGTGTCCTTTTTAAAAATATATATTATAGTCCAGTAAGATAGCAATTGTACAAAATGGCTGAGATAGATTTTAGAATAATACCTCGGGTATCTTGGTTCATCTTCAAAATCAGACTGATCTTTGAAACTAGCGGTTTTTAATCAAAGCTGGCTTTATAGGAGGAGTATAATGTATGCGCTACTGTTTTAAAACAATTAGTGTGAGTGTGTGCGCGTGTATTTTTGTATGATTGACCCATTCATCATAAGTCTAAACTCGTTAGAAATAATGTACCCATGGAGACTAGCAAAATAGTATGTAGATTTGATCTCAGTTGTAAATAGAAAAATCTAATTCAATTAACTCTGTATCACCCCCTCAAAAAAAAAAATAGGCTGAAAATCCATTTGACCTCCTTCTAACCTCCAGCCATTCATTTAAAACATGACATCCAATGCACATCAAGCTTTCAAGTTTAGCAAGAGAAAGGCATATGAGATGGAAAGGGAAGCATATTTGCGGAATTGAGGGTATTCTGTATCCCAGAAGCTATCAGGTGTGTTCTATGGTTCGCTCATTTAATTTTTATAATAATTTTCTAGTAAAAGGATAAGTTTTACTGAGGTACAGATAAGTTATATAACATCCTCAATTTCACATTGTTATATATACAGCAAATTCAAAACTGTAACCAAGCTGATCGAAAGTCCATGATTTTTCCAATACATGGTCCTGAAAAGTACATGTGTATTATTACACATTATCATACAGTTGTTTACTTGTGTTATCACTTAACAATGCCGAGAAAATAAATTTACCTTAAAACAAGACATGTTCTTTTAAAAACTTGGAAAACTGCAGCTACCTCAGCAGGACACTAACAGACACTAACAGCAGAAAATACAGCTTCATTTCTAATGCAAACTACCCCCAAATAAGTGGCTTTGTCTCCAAGACTATCTGATTTCTGGCAGTGTAAGTAAGAGGCAAGGTTACAATGGCAATCATGGAGAGATCAGTGAAAGTGTCAGTCCTGGGACAGAAGATCAATTGTCTGCATTGTGAGTTCTCCTTGCCCAGAACCCCAGGGACTCAAAAGCAATCCCATTCTGCTTTCAATACCTCCTTTCTCTCTGCTCTTGAATAGTCCCATTTGAAAGTAGCCGGTCTAAAGTTCACGGAGAACTGACTCTAGCTCAGAGAGTTCAAACATTTAGTTGAGCTAAGAACCTGGAAGGGCAAATTATTATTATTTTTTTCTTTTTTATCTCAACTACTTGTGACTTCTAAATTAGGATGGCGAGATTTCAGATACATTATTTTCTGCCTCTAGTCAAGTCAGTTAATACTATAATTTACTGTGTTAATGGTACCATTTGCCCCTTCTGATCCCTCCCTGCATGCAGAGGCAGCAGTTTAAAAGGGGTTGCATAAACTCTCCTTCCACTAAGGGGGAGAAGGCTTGTGATTATCAATAATGCACTTTGCAGGATAAATAATGCACTTTGCAGAATAAATAATGCACTTTGCAGAATATAAATCAACATCCTTAGATATCAACTCTGAAGACACTTTGGCAACCTTGATGGCATTACCATTAATAGGTGACTGTAAAGAACATGACTAAAGTACTTAATGCTATATTTCATACCACATGGTACACAATTGCAGAAATGAATTTTCACATTACTAAAATAATAGATCAGAATATAATCTTGTCACTGATTATTAGGGATACCTGAGTAAATAGAACAGCTAGCAAACTGCATATATTTCTAATCAAAAACAATTTCAATAAGGACAATTTTCAACCCTGAGCTGCAGAAATCTAAGATTACTCTCATCATCATCTATCCTTTGTAATTTTCTTCTCTTTTAAAATCTGCCTTTGTTCGCCAGTCTAATCATAAAAATCAGAAATTGCAATTTCAAGAAGACACAAAGAGACAATATCAACTTTGATCCTGAGTGTTTCTTCTTGTAGAACTCCAAAAAGCAGTTTCAAGTCTTACAAATTCTCTTTGACAACAATGATTAGAAGTCCAGTGACTGCTACAGTAATTGCTCCATAATCACATCTATAATACCCGACCTGGTTTATGCATACAATGTATATTCTAATAGCAGTCAACAGGTCACAAGTTAATAAAAATACCATTAACGTCCCCCTGTGACTAAGGAAGAAAGATATTCATCTTATGAGGCCACAGTGGGCCAATATAAAATCCTTGGCTGTTAGCATAATTAACTGTGCTCGCCCGTGGATTTCCCTGGAGGACCTTGTGTGTACAGGTTGACCTTGAGGCGTGCTCTCCGTAGTGTTCTGGCAGAGGGCACAGACTGTCAAGGGTTCAGGTCAGCCCTGAGTGAGGGTCTGAAGAACATGCCTGTTTATGTAATCTTGCTGTACACCGAAAGCATTTGCACACAGTTTGTATTTTCTGAGGTGCAGGCGCATAAAAACAAAGCAACCAATAATAGTTGTGAAGTTGACAGTTTTCTATGACATCTCAAGCCTCTCTTTGAAAAGATAAACAAAAGTGATAAACCTTTAACTAGACTTATCAAGTAAAAAAAAAAAGAGAGAGAGAGAGAGAGGGTGCAAATCTTCTTGTTCCTCTTTACAGGCTCAAAACTCACAACTTTGTTTTCCTCCAGACACAACACATCTGCCTGCTTTGCAAAGCTCTCCCTTACCTAATCAAAACACAAAAAGCATTGGCAGCAACTTTGAAACCTTGACCAACACTCCATCATGTTAAAGTTCTCCTATGTTTTTGCATTTTAAAGCTTTTTTAATGGATAGAAAATGTTTTTTCTCAGTAAAAGATGAAAAATGGGGATTCAAGATCTGAGAACAGTGAAGGAATGTTACCACTTATCTTTGAGGTGTCTCCTACTGACCTTCACAGCAAATTTGCTTTACTGACGTCTAACTGCAGAACTGAGCCAGGAAGGTCATGGTAGAGTCTAAATGTGTGCTTTTTTCTCTCCCCTCAATCATAGCTCTACTGTTCAATGTGGAGCACTCACTAATCATTTTCAGTTTCTTAATGAAAAATTTTAAAGGTATAAATATGCAGAGAATAATATTAGAAACACATCTGTAACCTTCTTTTGGTTTTACTTATCTTAGTATTTTGCTATATTAGCTCCTGATCTCTTTTTTTTAAAGAAATAAAGTGGTACAGATATAGATGATATTTCTTTACCTTCATCCTAAGGGAGAACCACTCTCCTAAAGTTTTCTATTGGTAAAGTGCTTTTACTAATAAGCAATTTGCCACTGAGCTTTTTGTGTTTTTAAAGTTTATAAGCAATGGCACCCCAATTTGGGGATGAACTGTGCTCTCTCCAAATTTATACGGTGAAGCCCTAGCCCCTAGCTCCTTAGAATGGACTTTGGAGATAAGGATTTTAAGGAATTGAGGGTGAGGAGGCTGTGATGGAATGCCCTAATCAATCTGACTGGTGGTGTGAAAAAAGAAGAGATACCAGTGAGGGGCACAGAGAAAAAGCCATGTAAGAACACAGCAAGAAGGCAGCCACCAGTAAGCTAAGGAAGTGGGCCTCAGGAGAAACGAAACCTGCCGACACTTTGATCTTGGACTTCTGGACCACACAACTATAAGAAAATAAATAACTGTTTAAGCTATCCAGTCCATAGTAATTTGTTATGGTAAATTCCTAGCAGACTAATACAACCCCCTTCAACTTTTTTTTTTTTCTTCTGATTTTTACTTTTTTGCCTACATTGACATGTTGCCTGAGTTCCCTTATTGAAGAGTTGCACAGGATTCATCATATGTATGAGCTGCAGCTGGATTTATCCACTCCGTAATGGACATTAGGTCACTCAACATGTTCTGCTAAACTAAGCAATGTTTAATTGAACTTCGCCTCCACATTGCATACTTGAGAGTGGTTCTCTACCTACATACTTGTATCTAGAAGGAATGTTTTCTGTCTTATGAGGTATAGGATACATATAACATCACTAGTTTAAGATCCTGTCAAATCACTATCAAATGTGATTGCAACCAAAAACCCTTCTCCCTATAAGTGTAATATGAACAGTATGTTTTCTTTACATTCTTCCCAAGACTTGGTATTGTTAGACTTTTGTATGATTTCCCTAATCTGATGGGTGAGAAGTGTGGCTATTTCAATTTTTATTTTGCATTTCTTTGATGATAATGAAGTTTGAGCCTCTCTTCATGCTTATTAAACATTCCAGTTTACTGTTTCTAAAATTGTCTAGATGTGCCATTTTTTCATTTTTTAGTTGAATTACTTTACCTCTTTTTTACTGATTTGTATGACTTATTTATATATCCAGGCACCTGATCTTTGCAGGTTATATACAATTGCAAAATCTGTCAAAGGCTGTGGCTTATATTTTAACTTTGTGAATGGTGTTTCTAATTCAATGGTAAAAAAATATAATAAAAATCATCTTTACGGTTTGGTACTTTTGTGTCTTGTTTCAGAAATTGTTTCCTATATCATTATAAGTATACATATTTTTTTCTAAAAGCTTTTAAACATTGCCTTTCATATTTTATCT